GGGGGCTCAGAGGTAAAGAATCTGCCTGCCAGTGCAAGACACCCAGGTTTGATCCCTGGTCCGAGAAGATTCCACATGCCAAGGAGCAACTAGGCTTATGCGCCACAATTATTGAGCCTGTGCTCTAGAGCCCGGGAACTACTGAGCACACGCACCGCAACCACTGAAGCCCTTACACCATAGAGCCGGTGCTCCAACAAAGTGTGGCCCCTCGCTTGCTGCAACTAGAGGAAAAGCCCACTTAGGAACCAAGACCCAGCACAGCCAAAAATAAATGAAATTGAATTTTTAAAAAGCATCATTTTAACTTTACATTACCTTTTAGAAATGAGAATTTCCCTTAATAAAGTACTTAAGCATAAAGTGGGAAAATTGTCTTTGTAAACCATATGCTATGGCTTTATTACAGACCAAATGTTTAAGCCTAGAATGGCCTTTTCTAATTAGCTTTGCTTCCTTATATTTTAAGTAAAAATAAAATCAAAGTCATATATAAAGGGAGAGACAGAAAAAAGTCATTGACACAATTTCCATTATAAACAATTGCTAAGGCAGACACATTTTTTAGAAATATTTAAGAACTTCTTTGTTTTAAAAAACACTAAGAGCTTATCATAGGAAATTGCAGGTAATGCACAATAATCACATATTTTGTTGTTTGAAACTAGTATTGAACTATGACAACTACAATTGTAGTATTTTAGCAGTAATTGGAATATCAATTGCTTGGGAGTGAATTAAACAGCAAATAGTATAGAATACTGTTCTGCTTATAGATTTATTATTCAATTTAAGAGTTGTTGCTAGTAAATGAATTTATACACGAAAATATTAAGCATAAAACACATAAATAAGTATATAGTACATAGCTAATTGAAGCATTATTTTGTATTAAGACGTTTAGTTTTTTGATCATGGTAGAGCAATAATTAACAGCTTAAATAAAAATAAGTTCTTCCACATGAAATAATTTAAAGGAATTACAAAACAAATATTTTATAATAACTACAAATGGAGTATAATCTTTAAAATTTGTGAATCATTATATTTTACACCTATAATTTATGTTATACATCAACTTAATTTGTAAAACAGAAAAAAAATTTTAAAGGCATTACATGCTCAGTGGTTTGCATAAAGACAAACTCTGAACAAGTTAGAAATGTTTCTAATTGTATTTTATTAACATTAATAAATAGCAAATTAAATTTAGCAAATATGTATCAAAGACAGTTCACCATAAATACAATACTTTAACAATGAATATTTTTCAGTTTTGTGCACCTTTAAGAAAGCAGTGATCTTAGAAAATCTACAATTATTAATCTTTTTAAATTTAAAAAATTTTCAAGGGATAAACTGTTGTTGTTTTTTTTTAAAGTTTAGTTACTTGAGGAATTTTCTGGAATTGTATTTACTTTCTTGATGAAAAAAATGTGTTCTTAGTCCTTTGGCACTTTTTTTTTAACCTAGAAAAGACTGCTCAATACAGCTGTCTTTCGGGTCATCTTTCCTATGTTAGTGATGTCTCAATAAGCCAAGAAGCATATGTCCATCACCTGATTTCTTACAGGTTTCAGAGCTACATGCTAGTAGAATTGGTAAAGGAGTCATATTGCTAGTATGGTATCCAATAACGAAAGAAGTTTTTGTGGGAGCATTGTGTTTTTATCCTTTACAATATTGACATGCAAATCTGTAATCATATAATAGAGTATTATTCACTTAAGCTATTAACTCTTGAGTAATCATCACACAAAGGGGCTCATGTTTGCTTTTTATTGACATAATGTGGTTTTTCCAGTTACACCTTTTACTGGGCACCTCATGCTTGCTCTAATCTCCAAAGCTGAATAATTATCCTGGCAATAAAATATTTTGTTATTAATAGAAGAACTGGAAGCACCAACTAAGCCATGAAGGGATGGATAAAGTGTGAAATCAGGTGCCAGTTGTTCATGTTATGGAGAGCTACCTGATAAAACAACTGCTTGAGCTTCCTGAATGGTTCCCAAGTACAGTATGTACTACATTGTGAAGATGATAAAGTTGAGAGGTCAGCACAGCATGAGAAGGAATTATCTAAAAAAGCATTAATGATAGAAGTTCTATAGTTTCATAAGGCACAGAGTAGTTCTCACAAGATATAAACTTTAATTTCTAAGAAAATGAGTGTCATTAGATTGTTATTAGTGCTATTGTGGTGTGATGTGTGTGCTTAGAAACAACAGTAAAGATAAATAATGATGTGTTGTTGAGTTTGTCTTCTAGTGGAAATAAAAACCATCCTATAAATCAAGCTCAAAAGAGACTGGGGAAATCATTATCAAAAGAGGGAAAAAGCTAGAAACCCAGGTTAATCTCCTAGTTTAGAAAGAGGTACAGGATAAATTATCTGACCTGTTGACAATTTACATTATTATTTTATCATGACTATTCTAGAGTGGGTTAGAAGTGGACAGTCGCCCACTGTTTTTAGACTATTCATTTGCAAATGCTCCCTTTTTGTGGTGATATGACTGCCTCTACCATCACTTAAACATCAATACTATCAATAATAAAATATACTTTTGAAAGTTAATTTCCTACTTTAAAATTTGATATCACATTTCATTCCTGATGACAAATATATTCAGCAAAAAAAAATTGCCAAGTTGAGGAAACTGCAGTTTTGGTCTCAGAGATTATCTATATCTATTAATAATCAAATGAAGAATCTATCAGTTTACTTTTTATTGGTAACAAGATGATATCATTTATTTACTGTACCCAAAGAATGAATCAGATTTTCTTATGTTCCAAATTTCTGAGGAAGATAATAATCTCACAATTATTAAGAATAACAAAATAATGTGAGCTAAAAAAAATTTGCTGCAGCAATCATGTCAGATGAAGTGTAAAACGCAATTCACAATCCAGATTAAAAAAATGTTTTAAATTAAACCATTATTCTTTTGTAAACATGTTGAAAATAACTGGTGTGGAGACTTAGATAATTCAAGAAATCAAAGCAATTTCACAATGTTAAATTTCTTTCTCTAAGGCTGAACTTAACATCCATCTAGGAAAATATTTAAAATATTCACTATTTATATGAAAAATTTTTTAATATATTTTTAATATGAAAATTTCTACTTAAAATTCCCCCCCCCCATATAATCTAATATTCTCAATTTGGAATCACCAGTGTTTTGATTAAGAAATGGATTAGGCTTTCCAAAGCACATATGGAAAAAAGAGTGAGAGAACGGGGAAAAATAGCTAATTAAAGTGTTATTTTTGTATTCTGGTATCTGACAACTTTTAATCCTTATAATTTAGTTGTGGGTGAATCCTTAAATTGAAGAGAAGAAAATGAAATCAGGATAAAAAAATAACTTTGTGCATAAATATACAAATACTAGACTCTGAAGAAAAAAATTCCTGCTACTGATGGAATTAGCTGGACAATCCATCAAAGAAAGGCAGTTAATTTCTGACCCCCTCAAAATAAAGGTAAGTCTTTTTGCTATTAAAGTGTAGTAAAATCTTGTTACAATTCATATTTTCTCCACAATTTTCACTCATTCTCAACCCTATTAAATCTCTTAACCCTCTTGTCAAACTGGAGAATTTCTCACAGTTTCTATCCCAATTCTGTGGGTAATTTCCATATCTTCTAGTTTTTCTTTCCTTCATCAGCTCCAGAGATGATTTAAAACGTCAAGGGCTCAGGAAAAGAAAGTCAGTCTCTGAGAAGTCCAGTGGGAAAGGGTGTATCTTCAGCAGAAGTAAAGTGATCAAACCCAAGGAGAAGAAAATGGGAGATCCAGGAGGGCTCCAGCATTATTTCAGCTCAATGGGCACTATTTTTTCTATTTTAATAGTAAGACTGATGGTTGCAGATACTAGTCAAACTGAAATAGTCCTGGAGCTTCTTGGAATCCATTTACTTGAGTGAAGATAAACCTCACTCTCTCATGGATTGCTGGAACCATTCATGCTTCCAGTTTCAAGTCCTATTATTTAAAATAAGGAGAAAAGCTTTAGGAGCAGAATAGCTACTTTCTCTCATTTTATATTTTTCCTTACTTGCAACATTTTACTCAAATCCCCAGGAAAGAATAAAAGATGATTTGATTGTGTTAAGATAATACATACCTTCCTCTATTTATAGACTTTTTTAGATTATTTGTCTTAAAGAAGGACATATATGTGTGTTTGTGCATGTGTGTGTGTGTATGTGGCATATGTATATATACACACACATGTATATATACACATATATGTATGGATCTGTATATACACAAAAACATACTTCCTTTGGTTTTTGATCCATAAAAACATGAACCAGTGGAGAAGGAAATGGCAACCCACTCCAGTATTCTTGCCTGGAAAAGTCCATGGACAGAGGAGTCTGGTGGGCTGAAGTCCATGGGATTACATGACTGAGCATGTGTGCATGAGGGTGGAGGGAGATGGGTTGGTAGCAATAAAGTGGTAGAACTAAAAAAAAAAAAAAATGAATCAAACACAATGTTCTCTGTAATCATATGCAAAAAAGGTGGTAAAAAAAATATGATTTATATCTGCACAACCCAAAACATCATACTGCAAATCTTCACAAAACATTCTATGCTATGTCTATACAATCTAAGTAAAGTGAACATAGACACACTATTTGGGTCTGCTCTAATTATGTTACAGAATTTTCTCTTGCTTTGAGCATCCACACATATGGGTTAGCCGGCCCTGGATTTTTTAACACTAATGTTCCATTTAGTTTGAGAGGCACAGCTTGTTTTCTACAGAAATCTCAATACATTCTTGGGTTTGCCTGTAATTTTTATATTAGTAATGATTTAAGCAGTTGCTTCTAGAGTTTTATGCAGCTTTTAAATTCTTAGGTTACTTAGGTGATAAAAAGTCCCATGGATGCTATTCTTTGAGTGTGGAAAAGTAACACTCTTCTAATCATTAGTTCAGTGAGGTGTTTTCTAAATGCAAAGATTTCTGAGTATTTAGGAAGAGAGAACATTCATGGTCAAATACAGGACCTCTTTATGGAAGCTAGCCTGAGCCTGCACAAGATGAAACAAATTCATAAAGCTTCTGTCGTCGTCATCACCATCTCCTATGCCATACACAGGAACAGACATAGAGAAAAGAAAATGACAGTTAAGTTTCCAAATATATGATTTATTCAAAACATACACATTATCCCTAACACTGTGTAACAGAAGACTAGTTAGTGATTTTCATTAAGTTAGATGTTAACAACTGAAACCATGGAATTATATTAAGAGCACTGAATTAGAAATCAGAAAAAAAATATGCTGGTCCATACTTGATTGCTTCTAACTTCATGACCTTGGGCAAGTCAGGTAATTTCTCTAAGCCTGAGTTTTCTCCTTGGTAAATTAGGGTTAATTATCATATTTGCCACCTAATAAAACTGTGAAATAATATAATGTGCAAACTATACAAATAAAGGATATTATTATGATGGTTATAATAGTTGGTCAAGTAAGCAGGTTAAGATTTTTTGCTGTGCAGAATTATATTGGTTCCTTTCAGAGCAGACTCTTCAATTTTATGTCTTCCATTAAAACCAATACCAGATTTTCAACAAGAATCAGCCACAGGAACACCCACATCCCCTCCCTCCCAACTCCCGTTTCATCCCACCCTTCTAGCTTTTCACCGAGCCCCTCTTTGAGTTCTCTGAGTCATACAGCAATTTCCCATTGGCTATCTATTTTACATATGGTATTGTAAGTTTCGTATATCTCACCCTCTCCCTCCTCTCCTCCCCAACCACGTCCTTAGGCCTGTTCTCTATGTCTGTTCCTCCATTGCTGCCCTGAAAATTAATTCATCAGTACCATCATTCTAGATTCCATATATATGCATCAGTACACAATATTTATATTTCTCTTTCTGATTTACTTCACTGTGTGTAATGGGCTCTAGGTTTGTCCACCTCATTAGAACTGACTCAAATGTGTTCCTTTTTATGGCTGAATAGTATTCCATTGTATATGTGTACCACAACTTCTTTATCCATTCGTCTGTCAGTGGACATCTAGGTTGCTTCCATGTTGTAGCTATTATAAATAGTGCTGCAATGAAAATCGGGGGTACACGTGTCTTTTTCAGTTTTGGTTTCCTCAGGGTACATGCTTACGAGTAGGATTGCTGGGTCATATGGTGGTTTTATTCCTAGCTTTTTAAGGAATCTCCATACCATCTTCCATAGTGGCTATATCAGTTTATGTTCCCACCAGTAATGCAAGAGGGTTCCCTTTTCTCCAGCATTTATTGTTTATAGACTTTTTGATCATGGCCATTCTGACTTGTGTGAGTGGTATCTCGTTGTGGTTTTGATTTGCATTTCTCTGATAGTGAATGATGTTGAGCATCTTTTCATGTGTTTGTTATCTGTATGTCTTCTTTGGGAAAATGTCTGTGTAGGTCTTTTTCCCACTTTTTGATTGGGCTGTTTGTTTTTCTGGTTTTGAGTTGTATGAGCTGCTTGTATATTTTGGAAATTAATTATTTGTCAGGTGTATCATTTGCTATTGTTTTCTCCCATTCTAAGGGTTGTCTTTTAACCTTGTTTGTAGTGAATAAGATATTATAATTTGAGGTGCTAATTAGAAAAGTTCACTTATTGTAAAATAAATAAATAAATAAATAAATAAAACCGATACCAGATTTTAAAAGTGACAATACTACTAAAAAAAATAAAAAGAAAAAAAGAAAAGTGACAATACTAGAAACTAAATATATCTCATGAAAAAACTAACAATGACTGATTTTTCTATTCTTTGCTTAGGAATAAAAGTCCACACAGAATTATATTTGTCTTAAGGGAAGACTAGCATGCATTTCACTCACACTTGTGTACCATTTATGTGTATACTCACCAGACATAACTGACTGTAGCATTTCCATTATAGCACATGCAAATGCATTTGCCACACTCTGCAGGAAGTTATTTCTTTCCACTGGAGTGCTAAAGACTTTACATACTCTTTGCATCATTTTAACTGCCCAATCCATGCAATATAGTTCTTTCTCACACACCTGGTTTAGACATATAAAGCATTGTGGTAAATTTTCATGTGAAGAAAGTTATAGAATTTGAAAATTGTATTAACAAGTACTGTTTGTAAGTTTAACATAATTTAATAACATAATATGTTGAGTCTATAAATGGCAAATGCTCTTATATCTAATACTCCTTTGCTTTCAAATGGTACAAATTTTGTGGGGAAAAAATCATGAAGTAAATAAAAGCCTGGTTCAAGATTATTATAGGATACTATTAATGTAAAAAAATAATATTGCGAACAATTACTGGGAATTCCCTGGTGGTCCAGTGGTTAAGACTCTGTGCTTCCACTATGGAGGGTATGAGTTCTATCCCTGGCTGGGAACTAAGATCCCACATGCCACACGGCCAAACAAACACCAATTATTAAACATATGAAAAAAAAGGCTCCTGCTCATTTATTCATTCGTTCAGTAATTATTTATTGAGCATATGCTAACAGCTGGGGCTACTCTGGCAAGCCATAAACACAAGGCCTCTATATTTAAGGGATCCAATGAGGGTGACAGACAAACAGGCAATTTCAATAGGCAAGAGAACTCTATGATAATATTAACTTTCTATCTTGAGAGCTATAAGGAATATTTCTCTCTTATTTAAAAAATAAATAAAATGAGGATTACATGTTTTTAGCTAAAACTGACTGAAAGGAAAAAGGTTGATTTACCAACATTCTAAATGGCAAATTGTCCATGTAGCCAAATAACATACAGCATGAAAATAAACTATACAGTAAGATAACCAAATAATGTTAATCTGACAGGAAAGATTTATTGACCACTTATTATGTATTAATCACTGTACAAGACATTGTGAAAGAAGTAAGTGACATAGTTCTGGATTTCAAAGAGTTTCCCTATTTAGGGAGACAATTACCCCACAAAGATAGTGGCTTAAGAACACCAGTGGTAAATGAAGATAGTTCAGTTCAGTTCAATTCAGTCGCTCAGTCGTGTCCGACTCTTTGCAACCCCATGAACTGCAGCACGCCAGGCCTCCATGTCCATCACCAACTCCCGGAGTTTACTCAAACTCATGTCCATTGAGTCGGTGATGCCATCCAGCCATCTCATCCTCTGTCGCCCCCTCTCCTCCTGCCCCCAACCCCTCCCAGCATCAGGGTCTTTTCCAATGAGTCAACTATTCACATGAGGTGGCCAAAGTATAGAAGACAAATCTGAGGTGATTTAGAGAAAATTAATGATCAGAGTTGAGATGTTAACCAGAGAAGGCTTCTCCACCCCTAATGGCTTCCCCTCCATTCCTTTTGCTAGAGTGAGGCCAAAGTCACCTTCCAAAAAGTATCTCCCTGTTTCCTAAAATTTGTCAGCAATGTGGCTACTGTGGTTCAAGCTCCACAGACTGGTCTACAAGGTCCCTCCTTACCTGGCCTCTCCCTTCTTATCTAAACTCACCACCTCCTCTTCTGCACATTTTTCCCTTCAGAAATAATACTGAACTGCTTATAGTTCCCTGAGATAGCCATGCAATTCCAATTCTCTCTCTCTCTTTTTTTTTAGGACATCTGCTTATTAAAATAAATATTTACATTCAGAATACAGTTAATTTGGTAGCTTTCCTCACATTTTCACATCTTTTAAAAAATACTTATTTACTTATTTAGTTGTGCCAGAGCTTTGTTGCGGCATGTGGGATCTTTAGTTGTGGCATGCAAACTCTTAGTTGTGGCATGTGGGATCTAGTTCCGTGACCAGGGACTGAACACAGGCCGCGGCAGTGACAGTGCTAAGTGCTAACTACTGGACTGCCAGGAAATTCCCACACTGAATTTATTTATGCATACTTTGATATCTCTTAAAAGACTGTAAGCAGCTTTGGTCAGGGATTTGTTCTACTAATTTCCATAGTCCTAAAATCTTAACACAGTATATGGCCCATAGTAAACACTCAATTTGTGTTAAATGAATGGACATTAAATATATTTTTAAATGTTTTATTTTAAAAAACATTTTAACTATATAAAAGTAAAGAGAATAGTATTATAAACCCTTAGTATCCATTCTCCAGCTTCAGCAATTACAAATCTTGTTTCACTTTTACCACCACTCACTTCCACATTCTCTCCCTGATGCCCATGAAATACCCTGGAGCAAATTATATAGGGTGCTTTATTTTTTTTTTAATTGAATCTAAGGGGAAAAAAGAATATAACTGGGCAGAGCTGTATAATGACAATTCAGATACGATGTGGGGAGAGGTTAATATAAGGAATGTCTCCAAAATATGATAGTTTGTTATATAAATTAAAAATTTTTAAGTATATATAAAAATATACTTAAATACTTATTCTTTCAAAATGTTTTGTGCATATTTCAGTTCCTTCATGGCAGCTTCTTGGTAGGTCAGCTATAACGTTAAACAACTTGCTAGAAAAAACTTATTTTTTACTTACCAAAGCCAAAAAGACTATCAGCCTTGCCAGCTCAATGGTGCGTCCATTCACAGCTTTACTAGCCATGAAAGTGAAACAGATGTTGTTCCCACTTAGGATTAGGAGACGTGCATTATTCTCTAGAAGCCACTCACGAGGAACCACTTTTATTAAAGGAAAAACAGTATTTAATGAGATATTAAATAATAGCTATAGTAAAGATCATTAAATACATGTAATATTATATCACTTTATTGGAAATACAATTAGTGTCAAAGGAGAATCTTGGAGAAAATGCTTTAGTTTTCCAGTTATAGCCTTTACCGGGCAAAAGAGATTATTGCCAAGTCACAGTGACTCTCACAAATGTACTAGTAATATAGTCAAAGCATTTCTCCCACAAAGGTCAACAAAGTGGTCTAATCCTGGGAAAAGAAAGAAATCTTGAGAATTTCAGAGTCTAAAGGATTATGCATGAATGGGAAACATTGTTTCATATCTCCTGAACCAACTGAAAAGGGCTTTCCTCTTGTTCAGCATTAGGAGGTGTTTCTGAGAACTTGCAAAATGGGAATAACTAAGCTAATAAAATAATGAAACTTTCAAATAATAATAACAATGAATAATATCTATAAAATTGACAAGGAAAACCGAAGGAAAGTAAATTGATTATATGCATTCTCTTCAAAAATCAAAAAGTGATTTCTGATGATAAGCCATTTGTTTCCTCTAGAGCTATATGTATAACTTAAAAAATTTTTTTAATTGCTTTATGTCCTTACAATTTTATAACTGTATTCTAATATTACGTTTCTATTACTCTATGTGGTAAATATTTTTTTTTACCTGATAGTTCATCTACAAGACTGATAACATCATCTGCTGTCCATTCTTTGGTGCCTGTGTCATATAGTAATTTAATGGCATCAGCCAAACCTTTCAGACAGGATTCATCTGTAGGTTCTTCTATCATTTTCTGCCAAACCACCTGTCCTGAATGATAATTGAAACAAAAACTAGGCTATGACAGAATAGTTGCTTCTCTGATAAAGATTACATGGATTATTTAAAAAGGAAATTGGATTGCATAATGAAATCCATTACTTATACATGCTACTTTCATAATGAAAGGTCAATTCTGATAACAGTATAAATTTTAATGTCTCTGACTTATGCAATGAAGCACAGCAATAATAGCTAAATGAAGTAAAGAAAAGGTAGTTTCACCAAGCAAAACACTGTTTATGGTTCAAAGATAATGTTATCCCATAACAGAAATTAAAATAAACAATTGATAAAATCTTACTAAAATGAAATAAAACCTAGTGATAACCTTCCAAAAAGACAGCATGCTATATTTCAGAATCTTCCAGACACTCATATCAAAACTGAGTAATCCAGTCAATTTTTTATTGTTTACCTATGACCAATAGTTTTTCTGAATTATACACACAAACAAATTTGCAAATTGGCTTCCTGCTGCTACACAACACATTTTAGACTGGTTAAGTCCTGACATAATGCTGTGTGAACAAAAGAAATATATTCATCCAAGCAAATGTAGTGTAATGTAGTATACAGTTGTATCCACTTTAGTTATTAAGAATGATGAGAGGTCTTTCCTTGTGGTTGCGGCGTGACAGCAGAGTATGAACTGCGGCAGCTGGAGTCATGTTTAGTTGAAAGAAGTGCAGCCGAAACTGTAACCAAAGGAGGCATTATGCTTCCAGAAAAACCACAAGGAAAAGTATTGCAAGCAATGGTGGTAGCTGTTGGATTCTGCTCTAAAGGAAACGGTGGACAGATTCAACCAGTTAGCACAAAAGTTGGAGATAAAAGTTCTCCCAGTGGAGAAGGAAATGGCAACCTACTCCAGTATTCTTGCCTAGAAAAGTCCATGGACAGAGGAGCCTGGCGGGCTGCAGTCCATTGGGGTTACATGACGGTTAAATGAGCATGTGTGCACGAGGGTGGAGGGAGATGGGTTGGTAGCAATAAACTGGTAGAACTGAAAAAAAAAAAGAAGTTCTCCCAGAATATGGAGGCACCAAAGTAGTTCCAGACAACAAGGACTATTTCTTAGAGTGGTGACATTCTTGGGAAATATGTTGACTGAAATTGAAATGGCATCATGTGAAGCTGCCCATTTCACTGAAGTTCTGAAATCTTTCATCATGTAAATAATTTCCATGGTTCTCTTTTATAATAACTAATGATATCAAAAAAAAATGATGAAACTAAGCAGGTACAAAATGATGTTTCCTAAAGTAAAAGTAATTAACCAGCTTTGTAACATACATCCCTAAGAAATAGATGCTTACCATCTTGAGGAGATATAGGCCCGAAGATGATATACAGTAATCTTGCCTGATTCACCATTGGCCACGGTTTCAATATACATGTCAACCAAAATGCAGAATCACTTCGATGGATCCAGTGATCAAGCAGTACGTTCCTACAGAATAGTCTGATCCTTAACTCCAGTTTTCGGGCACTTCCTATGAAGACAAAAGAATTGTAAAGCATTCTTCTTAGATTGATGTGCATAATTGGATAGATCAAAGACATACATCATTAATATGCTTTGTATTGACAGTGTTACTTCATTTACTCTGTAAAAATTTTAGATTATCAAGGAACTACTTTTTAAAATAACTACTGGGATACAATTTACATACCATAAAATGTACCAATTTAAAGGATATACAATTCAACTTTTTTTCAGTATATTCATAGATACATGCAGCTATCACCAAGTTAATTTTAGAACATTGTCATTACCTCAAAAAGAAGCCCTGCTCTTTTAACTGTACCTCTCCCATCCCTCTGTCCTTTATCACCCACAGCACTAACCACTACTTTCTGTCTCTATGGATTTCCCTATGCTGAACTTTGATATGAAGTTATATAGTAGATGATCTTTTGTGATTGGCTTCTTTCCAAAGCATGTTTTCAAGGTTCATCCATGTTATAGCATGTATCAATACTTCATGCTTTCTTATAGCCAAATAACATTCCACTGGTATAGATATGCCACATTTGATTTATTCACCCATTGATGGTTGTCTCTACCTTTTGGCTATTATGAATAATGTTGCTATTAACATTCATTTACAAGCTTCTGTACGAATATGTTTCTCTGGAGGATATACCTAGGAATAAGACTGCTTGGTCATATGGTAACTCTATATTTAATCATTTGAAGAACTGCCAGGTTGTTTTCCAAAGTGGTTGTATCATTTTGCATTCTGGCCAGCAGTATATGAGGGCTCCAATTGCCCCACATACTCAGCAACAATTGCTATCTGATGTTTTGGTTCTAGCCATCCAAGTGGGTATAAAATGGTATCTCATGTATTTCTAAAAACATTTTATTGGAATATACATATAATTTACATACCATATAACTTTAATGTATATAATTTAATTTAATGTATATAATTCAACAGTTTTTGATATATTACCTTATTTTCTAAAATTGTGGTAAAATGCATATTATCTAAAATTTGCTATTTTAACCATTTTTAAAGTATAAAATTCAGTGGCATCAATTAGAATCATAATGTTGTTCAACTGTTATCACTCTTACCCTATCTAAAACTTTTTCTCACCTCAAACAGAAACTTTGTGACCATTAAGCAATCACTCTCCAGCCCCCTCTCCCCCTAGTTCCTGGTAACCTCTAATCTACTTTCTGTTTTTATGAATTTGCCTGTTCTAGGTGCCTCATGGAAGTGGAACCATACAATATTTGTCCTTTTGTGTCTGACTTACTTCACTTAGCATATGTTTTCAAAAGTCATCCATGTTGTGGCCTATATCAAAACTTCACTCCTGTGAATTCCCTGGTGGTCCAATGGCTAGGATTCTGTGCACTGCTGGGGCCCAGGTTCGATCTCTAGTAAAGAAACTAAGAGCCTGCAAGCCACATGGTGGGGCCAGAAACTTCACTCCTTTTTATGCTGAATAATATTCCACTGTATATATATGCCACATTTTGTCTATCCATTCATCTATTGATGAATACTTCCAAAACTTCCTGGTTTGGGCCATTGAAAATAATGTTTCAGTGAATTCTGGTGTACAAATATTTGTTCAAGTTCTTGCTCTCAATTTCCTTAGTTAGGTGCCTAGGAGTGTAATTACTGGGTCATATGTAACTCTACATCTAGTTTTTTGAGGAATGACCAAACTGTTTTTCATGGTGGTGACACCATTTTACATTTTATATTCTTATACTACTTATGATCTACTTACTTGTACATAAGTGTAAATGGAAAGTCTACCAACACACCAAAACAAAAGAGCAAAAGTGAAATCACTTAGTCGTGTCCAACTCTTTGGGACCCCGTGGACTGTAGCCTAGCAGGCTCCTCCCTCCATGGGATTCTCCAGGCAAGAATACTGGAGTGGGTTGCCATTTCCTTCTCCAGGGGGTCTTCCCAACCCAGGGATAGAACCCAGGTCTACACATTGCGGGCAGATGCTTTAACCTCTGAGCCACCAGGGAAGCCCTCACACCAAGGCCATGTGTAAATAAGTATTTCTTGATGTGTTAAGTCAAGTAGCACAGAAGTTTAGAGGAGAGAGATTATTGCAGGTCTAGGTAGATCAGGAAAGATCAAGTAAACTGGGTCTTAAAGGATGAAAAGGAGATATGGCATTTCAGGAAAAAGAGAGAATGAAAGGCATGAGGTAGAAATGTGTAAGAGGAGTCTGTGACACAGAGCAATATCCTGTGTCAAACTGATGTGGAGAGCAGTAGGCAGGAACTCTGGAGAGGCAGGCTGGGGTTCATATGTGAAGAGCAGTGTGGCTTGCACTTTATTCTGAAGGTGTCACTTGCTTAGTGTGCTGAGTCCCTCAGTCGTTTCCGACTCTCTGCAACCCCTTGGACTGCAGCCCACCAGGCTCCTCTGTCCATGGGGATTCTCCAGGTAAGAATACTGGAGTGGGTTGCCATGCCCTCCTCCAAGGGATCTTCCCAACCCAGGGATTAAACCCAGGTCTCCCTCATTGCAGGAGGATTGTTTACCAACTGAGCCACCAGGGAAACCCAAGAATACTGGAATGGATAGTATTCCGACTACTGGAGAAGTAGCTATCCCTTCTCCAGGGGATCTTCCTGACCCAGGAATCAAACTGAAGTCTCCTGCACTGCAAGCAGATTCTTTACCTGCTGAACTACCAGGGAAGATATCAGGGAACTAATAAAACTTTCTGATTAAGAGAAGGACATGATAAATTAATTTTGCTATTGTTTCACTGGGCTTCTATATCTGCCTTAAAAAATTCTGCCATGATTTGTCTCATAATGAAATATTTCAAGCCGACAGAAAAACAGAGATACTATAACAAACATTGTATACTGATCATCTAATTTTGTCAAATCTTAGCTATATTTGCTTCAGAATTAAAAAAAAATAAAACATTATTCATACAGTTAAAACTTCTTGTTTATCAGTCCCAATTCCCTTCTTCCCTAGAGATAATCACCATCTTGAATTGGGTTTTGTTCCTGTTGTATTAATCAGTGCTTTCTAGAGAAACAAAAGTAGCAGGATGTGTATATATACATAGGATTTGTCTTGCTTATGCAGATCACTGAAGCTTGGCAAGCCCATAATCTACAGGGTAGGTTGGCAGGCTCCAACAAGGCGGGGGGACTTCTAATTCAAGTCCAAAGACAGTCTGCTGGCAGAATTCTTTCTTGTTTGGGGAGAAGAGTAATTTTCTATTAAAGCCTTCAAGTGATTGGATGAGGCCCGCCCACATTATGGAGGGTAATCTGCTTTACTCGAAGTCTGCAAAGTTAAATGTCAATCTTATCTAAAAAACAAATTCAAACATCTATAATACTGTTTGATTAAATATCTGGGTACCATGGACTACCAAAGTTGACACACAAAATTAACTATCATACCTCCCAACTATGTTCTTATATTTTTTTACATATATATATAACCATAAAGAATATATAGAATTATTTTACATGTTTTTAATATGTATATAAATGGTATCATATTAAAAGTATTGTTTGGTAGCCTTTTCTCTCAAATTATATTTTGAGATTTATCCATATTAAAAATACACATGGCTCTAGTTAACTCATTTTAACTATTAATGGTTTTTAATTGTATAAATATGCCACAATTCATTTATCCATTCTCTTGACAACAGGCATTAGGTTGTTGGCAGTCTTCCCTGTAATGCTCATTCTTATACATGTCTCCTTGTGCACACTGTGGGAGTTTCTTAGAGTGACATTGCTAAATTATAGATTTCTTTTAATTTTTAAAATATATTTCAGGTATATATAAAGGTTTAAAGAATATTATAATGAACACCTTTGTATTTTCCACCAGTTTAAGGAATAAAATATTATTAATATGGTTGAAGACCCTCTGAGCTGGTCTCTTTGTGTAATTACAGGCCACTTCTGCCTCACTGTCTGATTTAGTGTTTATCATTCCCTTATATCTCTTTGTCCTCTTTCTACACTGCAGTAAACACTGCAGTTTATTTTAAAATACACTTTAGAAATAAACTATTTTTTTCTATTTTAATCTTTGTATAATGTTATCTCTGAATTTTAGTTCTTTACCTGGTTTGCTGCAGACAGCTGTCTGCATCTTGCGAGACAGATTAGTCAGCTCACATAAGAAATTATAAACACGATGGCACTCGAGTTCATCCCAACCTGCTGTTAAAGTCTGAGAATGATAAAATAAAGGAAACATTGCAGATATTCAAACCATCAAATCAAAACATAAGTCACTATTGCCTTATGACCATCAACTGCTGCAGCACAAAATCAGGGTGATGTGCAATTTTTATCCAGTATGGGACTGTTAAAATTCATAGGAAATTTTATATTAAACAAAACCTAGAAATGCTCCAAGATCCAATTTCTTTGTGGTTGCATTGAGAGTCTCTTTTCAGAGAACTAAATGGTATTGAATCCTGACCTCTGACAGTTATGAGGAAAATAACAAAGTAAGGCCCAAGACCCTAAAACACAACTTTAGATATCTGACTCACAACCATACTGTGGCTTAGTTTCAGACTACAGTAGAATTTAAATCAATCCCTTACAACTATACAGTGGAGGTGATGAATAGATTCAAGGGATTAGATCTGGTAGACAGAGTTCCTGAAGAACTATGGATGGAGGTTTGTAACAGGAAGTGGTGACCAAAACCATCCCAAAGAAAAAGAAACGAAAGAAGGCAAAGTGATTGAGGCGGCTTTACAAATATCTGGGAAAAGAAGAGAAGCGAAAGGCATGGGGCAAGGGGAAAGATATACCCAAATGAATGCAGAATTCCAGAGAATAGCCAGAAGAGATAAGAAAGTCTTCTTAAGTGAACAGGACAAAGTAATAAAGGATAATAATAGAACTGGAAAGACTAGAAATCTCTTCAAGAAAATTGGAGATATCAAGGAACATTTCATGTAAGGATGGGAATAAAGGACAGAAATGGTATGGACCTAACAGAAGCAGAAGAGATTAAGAAGAGGTGGCAAGAATACAAAGAACTATACAAAAAAGGTATAAATGACTCAGATAACCAGATGGTGTGATCACTCACCTAGAGTCAGACATCCTTAAGTGTGAAGTCAAGTGGGCCTTAGGAAGCATTACTACAAAGCTACTGGAGGTGATGGAATTCCAGTTGAGCCATTTCAAATCCTAAAAGATGATGCTGTTAAAGTGCTGCATTCAAAATTCCAGCAACTTTGGAAAACTGAGCAGTGACCACAGGACTGAAAAGGTCAGTTTCCATTCCAGTCCCAAAGAAGGGCAATGCCAAAGAATGTTCAAACTACCTAACAATCATACTCATTTCACATGCTAGCAAGGTTATGCTCAAAATCCTTCAAGCTAGGCTTCAGCAGTATGTGAACCAAGAAATTCCAGGTATACACGCTGGGTTTAGAAAAGGCAGAGGAACCAGAGACCAAGTTGCCAACATTTGCTGGATCATAGAGAAAACAAGGGAATTCCAGGAAAACATCTGCTTCTGCTTCATTGACTGCACTAGAGCCTTTGACTGTGTGGATCACAACAAACTGTGGAAAATTCTGAAGGAAATGGGAATACCAGTCCACCTTACCTGTCTCCTGAGAAAACCGTATGCAGGTCAAGAAGCAACAGTTAGAACCAGACATTAAACAATGGACTGGTTCAACATTGGGAAAGGCGTTATGACTGTATATTGTATATACAGCCTGTATATATATAAAGACTGTATGTTGTTACCTTGCTTATTTAACTTCTATGCAGAGTACATCATGTGAAATACCAGGCTGGATAAATCCCAATCTGGAATCAAGATTGCTGGGAGAAATATCAACATCCTCAGATAAGCTGATGATACCACTCTAATGGCAGAAAGTGAAGAGGAACTAAAGAGCCTTTTGATGAGGGCGAAAGAGGAGAGTGAAAAAGCTGACTTGAAACTCAATATGTGAAAAAAGAAGATCATGACATCCAGTTCCATTACTTCATGGCAAACAGTTGGGGAAAAGTGGAAACAGTGACAGATTTTCTTTTCTTGGGCTCCAAAGTCACTGCGGATGGTGACTGCAACCATGAAATTAAAAGATGCTTGCTCCCTGGAAGTAAAACTATGACAAACCTAGACAGCATATGAAAAAGCAGCGACATCACTTTGCTGACAAAGGTCCACATAGTCAAGGCTATGGTTTTTCTAGGAGTCATGTACAGCTGTGAGAGTTGGACCATAAAGAAGGCTAAGTGTCAGAGAATTGATGCTTTCAATTGTGGTGCTGGCAAAGACTCTTGAGAGTCCCTTGGACTTCAAGGAGATCAAACCAATAGATCCTAAAGGAAATCAACCCTGAATAGTCATCAGAAGGACTGATGCTGAAGCCCCAATACTTTGGCTACTTGATGCAAAGAGCCGATTCATTGGAAAAGATCCTGATGCAGAGAAAGCCAAAGAAGAAGGGGGCGGCAGAGGATGAGGTGGTTATATAGCATCACTGTCTTAAAGGACAGGAATTTGAGCAAACTGTGGGAGATAGTGAAGGACAAGGAAGCCTGAGGTGTTGCACTCCATATCCGACTCTGAAACCCCATGGACTGTAGTCTGCCAAGTACCTCTATCCATGGTATTCTCCACACAAGAATACTGGAGCAAGTTATCATGCCCTTCTCCAGGGGAACTTCCCAACTCAGGGATCGAACCTGGGTCTTTTTTGTCTCCTGCTTCAGCAGGCAGGTTCTTTATGACAAGCACCACTTGGGAAGCCCCATAATAAAATCAGTTGTATCTATCATTTCCCATAGTCACAATTTTTAAAATACAGTTGATTTCTAAAATCACATCTTCAATAACTAGCCCAAGACTTAAAATTCATTACACATCCACACTCTGTATCCCACAATATTTCCAGTCATTACAACTGGCTGGAAACTTCAAGGACATTGGTATAGAGCATATAAATGTTAAGCATTTCTTACTAGTGAGAAATCCAAGAAGAAAACCTGAGGTGGCAAACATATTAACACATTCTCAAACCTTTACAATGTTATTTTGTTTTCTTTTTAGATTATTATCACTTTTATTATTTTATAGAAAGACAGATTACATCCTCTACCTATTAACAGTTCAAAAAGAACTCCTTTTCTTCTTTCAGTAAATAAAAAATGTACCTGTAAAAATATGCCATAACATAGTAATCCTACACATTGCAAAGGAGATGCACATCCATTGAATTTAAAACAGGAAACCTATAAAGAGAACAACTATTAATTACTCCTTTTCAGTGGAACTGTACAATAATTTGACATTCACATTAAGTGGAAATATGCAATGACCTTTTTCGATCTTAACTGAAAATAACTAAAACAATATATAACTGATTAGCATCATGTTACATAGGTGGAGGATTATGAAAAAAAGTATAAAACAAAGTCTCTGCCTCAAGGAGCTCACAATTTATTTAGGACAATATACACACCTGAAGCTATTTTTACATTTCAGGTTAGAATATGTACAAATGCTACAATGACCAAATAAACATATCAGACATGATGAAATCAGGGAAAGGATCATTCTGAGAATGATTTAAAAAGCTCATGAAGGATGTAAAACAAGTAATGTCTTTAATGTCTTTAAGTGGGATTCAAATATAATGCATAGATAGTATTGGTGAGGGAAACAATAAAGGGAAAATTATACAGAGGTAAAAATAAAAAAGGTTCCTCTGGAAAGAAAGATATGAGCAGCTTAGTCAGGCTCAAGATAGTAGGAATTAAGCTTGCACTGTCAAAGGGAACCTCAATACTACCTATGGACTTTGGACCTTATTGTGATGAAATTGAGTAACCACTGAAAGGTTTTTAAGCAAGAAAATTAAATTGATGAAAGTGATTCAGCATATAGAATGTCTTGGGGAGTGAAGAAATGTGTGGCAGGAAGATCATCTTGGAAGTTGCTGCAATAACATAGAGGCTGAAGTTAATGCAAACACTGACATGAAAAAAGCCAGTGGAAACAGCTTGCATACTATTGAGTGTAAAACTGAATCAGCAATAGTAGATATATATTTGGACTTATATAATAAAACTCAATGTCTAACAGAGATTATGCCCTAACACATTAATACACATTTCCAAGTCATAAATTATCATAAAAGGTTTGTCACTTTATATATTAAAAATTCTTTTAATATTTAAACAGCAAAATGTTAACACATAGAAATTATTTTCATTTTAATAAAATATCTACATCATCACTTTAAAACATCTTCAGAATTCCCACAAGGTAAAAATATTTTTACTACTTTGATAAACCTAATAAACTTGAGTGAAAATACTCCTATACTACATTTTGGTGTTTTATAATCTGAGTACTTGGTGAAGTATTAATTATCATCAATCAATTTTTAGTATTAATTCATGAAATTCCATGAAAATAAATATAGATTTAAAATGAGAATAAGACATTAATAATAAAACATCTTTACTGGAAATCAAGATTGTGAACTAATTTAGAAGTATGATCTTACATCTGCAAGTATCTTGTGAATGTACTTTAGTCTGTCCTTTGTGGGTAGCAGCAATGTACATCTTTTAAATAGTAGACCTGAGAAAGTAAAGAGACACATGAAAAAAATGACAATAATATAATTAACTTAAGAATATCTATAACTCACAGCATAATGTTTCCTGAAAGTGAGATGTACCATAGTGGACTGTGAGCTGATATCAGTGTTTTTAAGGGGAAGTTTGGGAGGAAGCGTTCACTATACTTGTAATACATGGTGTTTACCAAGGATGACTCTGGTATTCACCCAAGAGGCTATGACATGAAATCTTACAAAAAATTGTGAAATTGGTGCTATAGAATAGATTTAAGAAAGCATTTCAATTTAAAAAGATAACAATGGTGGACTACATGGACTGTAGTCTGCCAGACTCCCCTGTCCATGGGATTCTCCAGGTAACAATACTGGAGTGGGTTGCCATTTCCTTCTCCAAGGGATCTTGCTGACCCAGGCATCAAACCCGGGTCTCTTGCATTGCAGGCAGATTCTTTACCCACCGAGCTACAAGGCAAGCCCCCCCAAAGACAACAATAACCAAATACAAAATACAATTGGGAAACTCTACTGTCTTTATTCCATAAAAAACATATTCCAGTATCTCTTTTTTTCCCCTGGTATCTCTTAAAATTAACCTCATGTCCACAAGGGAAAATATTTTAAGAGTTGCTAATGGAAAGAGTGAGAGAAGAAATTTTATATTCCTTTCTCCAAATACTGTACAAAAACTTAGTCATAAGTACTTGAAATTTCAGAGATTAGAAGGCTTTTTTTCCCTCACAGAAAGTATCCAGTTTGGATGAAATATTTATCTCTTTCTTTAAAGATATCCTTTTACGGGGCTTGTATGTTAAGAATGTATAGAATTTTGTGTTTACATATTTTTTTAAAAAGCCTTTAATTTCCCAGTGAGCTATGTAACTTGAACTACAGTGACAGGAAGTGTATGATTTGTTTTCTCTAACTTTAAGTGTTCTGTTCTCCTAAAATGGCAATATATTGTTAACATTCCTATAAGGACAAATATCCTCAAACTAAAAATAAGATATATGGTAAGAAAATGCATACCTGAATATCATGACTTTCTTTAGTCTTCATCTTCTCTGCATTTACTTTTTTACATAATATAATAAACTTTATATAATTCTGTAGAATCTATGGGAATTGAACTTATTTTTAGAAGTTGCTATGTTTGGGCAACACATTATCAGGACTGCATTTTAAAGATAAACCCTTCTTATTTTTGTACATAAAAAGACATTTTCAGTGTTTGGTTTTCAGGCTGAGTCCTTTTCCTTTCATGTTCTGGCATCCAGTCCCAAGGCATATCATAGCTGGGGAATTGTAAACTCTAATTGCATGCTGGTTGCTTTTTTAAATGTAGAATGCTTATTTTTAAGGATTGCAATTTCCCATAAAAACCAATGCCAGTTGACTTATTTATTTTTTAACACAGGTGCTCTGTTATACCCTTTAGAGACCAACTTCTTTAATTTCTTCTCACTAAAATAGATCAGATGTACTGTTCTTTTTACATGGGCCATCTGCTCTGTTTTGTATGAAGCAGCAAATTAAAATGTATAAACCTCAGAATGCAGAATTCTGAAAATGTTATTTTAATGTCAGAAAACAAGAACAGAGGAATGGCTATGTGAGGAAATGGTAAGTACATCAAACATTTATCTAAAGAATCAGTCACAAGCTAGCTGTCTGCACCAAATTTAAATGGAAGGTTGAAATCATTACACAAATAAAATCATGTTTAAAAGCTACCTTTAAAGATCAACACATATCTGTATTTTTAACTGAATAATCCACATAATTGTCTTAATGCTTTTTGTTTGTTTGTTTATGCAATTGAGCCTGATCAGGGAGAAAAAATTCTTTCTAATTAAACTAAAGAATAAGCTTTTCCCAAGTAACACTTCCTCCACAACTGGTGATGTTTGAAAAAAGATATTTACAATAAGTGGCCAAAAGTAATTGATGTATTCTTTCGCAAGCTTTACTAAGCTTAATCGTAAGTACTGAGAACAATAACACTGTAACAAGATCACATACTTTTCATTTAGTCTTATTAAGTATACTTATCAAGTACAGTTTGATGTATTTCACATCTATGCAGTCTTATTTCATTATTTGAAAACTAGGAATCCTTGGGCTACTAAAAGGTAATATTCACTTAACTTCCTCTCAACATCAGATATTTAGTTTCATTGCCATGTTTTGATTAACTACAGGTAGCTTCATAATTAAACTGGTGTCATCAAGTCAAAATTAGAATTTTATGTTAGCACTCAGGAAGAATGAAATCAATGAATGGGATGAAAGATAAAACGATTACAAATCCAGGGAAGAAACCGTCCGCAACTTCCTTTGCTAAAGTTAATTTAATAATAGCATAATGATTTATTAGTAAATGCATAGCATCCTTAAGAAAGGAAACCACTGTTTCTGATAACAGAATAATGATTTTCCACAATAATATATTTAAATTTATTTTATATTTTAAAAACTAGTACGGTTGAAAAGGAAAAGAAATACAGAGATAAAACTCATCATATCAAAAAAAAAAAAAAAACTCATCACATCCACACAAAGTAAAGCATAGAAATACATCAATTCCCTAAACTGGTAAGCCACCAGATGATAAGCTTCAATGACACTGTATCCACATGAAGTCACAAGGACGGACACTTTAAAATGCATTCTCATCTTTAAAGGTAATGTAAAGGACTGTTGTCTGAGGAGGCCTTACAAATAGCTGAAAAAAGAAGAGCAGTGAAAGGCAAAGGAGAAAAGAAAAGATAAACCCATCTGAATACAGAGTTTTAAAGAATAGCAAGGAGAGATAAGAAAGTCTTCTTAAATGAACAATGTGAAGAAATAGAGGAAAACAATAGAATGGGAAAGACTAGAGATCTCTTCAAGCAAACTAGAGATACCATGGGAACATTCTATGTAAAGAAGGCACAATAAAGGACAGAAATGGTATGGACCCTAAGAGAAGCAGAAGAGATTCAGAAGAGGTGGCAAGCATACACAGAAGAACTGTACAAAAAAGGTCTTAAAGACCCGGATGACCACAATGGTGTGACCACTCACCTAGAGCCAGACATCCTGAAGTGTGAAGTCAAATGGGCCTTACGAAGCATTATTACAAACAAAGCTAGTGGAGGTGATGGAATTCCAGTTGAGCTATTTCAAATCCTAAAAGATAATGCTGTTAAAGTTCTGCACTCAGTATGCCAGCAAATTTGGAAACTCAGCAGTGGCCACTGGACTGGAAAAGGTCAGTGTTTATTCCAGTCCCAAAGAAGGGCAATGCTACCTAACAATCACACTCATTTCACATGCCAGCAGGGTTATGCTCGAAATCCTTCAAGCTAGGCTTCAACAGTATGTGAACAGAGAGCATCTAGATGTACAATCTGGGTTTGAAAAGGCAGAGGCACCAGAGATCAAATTGTCAACATTTGCTGGATGACAGAAAACAAGGGAATTCCAGGAAAGCATCTGCTTCTGCTTCATTGACTGCACTAGAGCCTTTGACTGTGTGGATCACAACAAACTGTGGAAAATTCTGAAAGAGATGGGAATATGAGACCACCTTACCCAGCTTCTGAGAAGTCTGTATGCAGGAAAAGAAGCAACAGTTAGAACTGGACATGAAACAATGGAATGGTTCAAAATTTGAAAAGGAGTACGTCAAGGCTGTATACTATCACCCTGCTTATTTAACTTATATGCATCATGTGAAAAGCTGGGCTGGATGAACCCCATGCTGGAATCATGACTACTGGGAGAAATATCAATAATCTCAGATATGCAGATGACACCACCCCAATGGCAGAAAGCGAAGAACTATCAAGTTTCTTGATCAAGATGAAAAAGGAAAGTGAAAAAGCTGACTTAAAACTCAACATTCAAAAAATGAAGATCACGGCATCCAGTCCCATCACTTCATGGCAAATAGATGGGGAAAAAGTGGAAACATTGACAGACTTTCTTTTCTTGTGCTCCAAAATCACTGTGGATGATGACTGCAGTCATGAAATTAAAAGACACTTGCTCCTTGGAAGAAAAGTTATGACAAACCTAGACAGTGTATTAAAAAGCAGAGATATCACCTTGCTGACAAAGGTCTGTATAGCCAAAACTATGGTTTCTCCAGTAGTCACGCAGGGATGTGAGAGTGGACCATAAAGAAGCCTGAGCACCAAAGAAATGATGCTTTGGAATTGTGGTGCTGGAGAAGACTCCCGAGAGTTCCTTGGACAGCAAGGAGATCAAACCAGTCTATCCTAAAGGAAATCAACCCAGAATATTCATTGGAAGGACTGATGTTGAAGCTGCAGCTCCAACCCTTTGGCCACCTGGTGCGAAGAGCCGACTCACTGGAAAAGACCCTGAGGCTGGGAAAGATTAAGGGCAGCAGGAGAAGAGGGTGACAGAGGATGAGATGGTTGGATGGCATCACCAACAAGACTCTGAGCAAACTCCGGGAGATTCTGAAAGACCCTGTGGTGTCCACAGGGTCGCAAAGAGTTGGACACAACTGAGCGACTAAACAGTAAACAAAAGGATTGCTGTTAAGGGAAAGTCCTCACACTGGAAGAGTAAAAGTGTCATGGAAATAGGAAGTATTCCATTTCCCACAGGCCTTATAGAATTGCATAATAAAACCCCCTTAATTAAGTATAGCTCTTTACCTGTTACAATTCTTATTTTATTACATAAATTACCTAGAGATCTGTAGTGATCCAATATAGTGGTGTCTTCTCTGTCAGGCAGCTCAGGGTCATGAAAATCCTGTAGTAAAAGTCTTTTGCTTCCTGATGAGGTTGAGATATAATTAATAATGTGCTGGCTGACTGTTTTGGACACCATGCTTAGCATGCTGATATCCTTCACTATAAAAAGAAATATACATATATACATATATGTGAATGACTTAAATACAAGAACATCACTATTAGCAGTCTATGAACTTACAGGTTAGCTCATTAATAATACTACTAAATAATACTATTAATAATACTACTAAAAATAAATAATAAAAGTGGGGAAAAGGGTAAAATCTTAAAATTGTTTGAAATCTAGTTCTCAATGCATTAGAAACATTTGGGGATGTAACAGTCAAATTACCATGTCATTATAATTAGAAGCATGCTTTAAGGAGTCTGAGTATCATATTTTCTCTGAGTACCACTTACCTAACAATGATGAAATTTTTAAAAATAGACTAAATGTGAATACAGACAGGGAGGCCTGGTGTGCTGCAGTCCATGGGGTCGCAAAGAGTCGGACATGACTGAGAGACTGAACTGAACTGAAATGAACACCATTAATATTCTAGCCGGGTCTAAGATGACAAGCTACTTCTTGGGGAAAATAAAATATTCCATTATCCATGTTGCCTACTTAGAGTCACCAAACCTCACCTGACAAATATTTTAGAATTATTTGGAATATTTCCACTGGCAAGGCTTTAAAATTTCCAAGTGTTGATAAGGGCTGAGAATCTGAGTCAAAGGTGTTAGAAAAATAGCTGGATCGACGATTACTACGTCTATATTTCTGGTTAGGAATCAAAGTGAAACTGGTATTTACTCTAGACGCCATCCTCTTCCTTATCTCATGAATTTATCCTGATTAGAAAAAAAAAGCACAAGAGACAAAGAAAAAAGGAAATTATATTGATGAAGCGATGTTGTTTCTTTAAATGGAAAGATTCATATTTTGATGGGTAATAGTTATCTCTCTATATTTACAGAACTTTTAATGTGATGTCCAGTATATGGCATTCCAACCAGTAGAGTCTATTTATTCATTCCAGATGATATAAAATACTTAAAAATCTCTCCCCTCTTAGCCAGATATTTTAGACAGTTTTAGTAGAAAATGAGGTATGTATCTAGATGAAATGTATTCTAAGAAAAGAAATGTTACATTTTCAAAAAGCAAAAGAAATAACACAAAAAATTATAATTTCAATCCATTCAATATTTGTCAATTAGTATGTTGTTTTTACTTTAATTCTTAAAAAATTCAAAGTATTAATGTAGAATTAAAACTTTTCTATTTTTTAAAAACTTAATACTGACATGTTCTTTTGTTGGAACCATAAAGACAGATTAAAAAATAGACTTTAGTTTGCAGCTTTTTAAAACTGACTAGCTCTAATAGATTAAGATGGTTTCATTATGATTCACTATGTGTGATGAAATCAAAGTTTTGTAAAATAATAAGACTAGAATAAATTAATGAATAATTTTCCTTCAGTATCACTTTTGTTTAATAACAGCTAATAATGAAACTTCAATACTTTGGCCACCTGATGCGAAGAACTGACTCATTAGAAAAGACCCTGATGCTGGGAAAGACTGAAGGTGGGAGAAGGGGACAACAGAAGATGAGATGGTTGGATAGCATCACTGACTCGATGGACATGAGTTTGAGTAAGCTCTGGGAGTTGGTGATGGACAAGGAAGCTTGGCGTGCTGCAGTCCATGGCGTTGCAAAGATTGGACACGACTGAGCGATTGAACTGACTGAACTGACAAGTCTTAGGAAGGGCCTACATAACTTATTTCAAACTGAACATTTCCTAGAAAGAATTTTATTGAAGTTACTAGTAATTCACTTACACTAAACAATAATTCTTTTTAAAAAATGGTATTTTTCACACACAGTGACTTTGTGTCATTCCTTTTCCTATTCAGAAAACACTGTTTTTTTGTAAATATACATGCATATGTACACATGCATAACTATAACTCCAATCTAGGGCTCTTTATTTCTGAAGAAACAACTAAGACATTTCATTAAAGAGTTACAAATATATCTGACCAAAATGCATTTTCTCCTTTTGGCACAAAATTGCTAAAAAATCACATTGCTACTTATTCATCTAAAAGGTTACAAGTCAATTTACATCAAGTTAAAACCAGCTATACGAGAATTCCCTGGTGGTCCAGTGGCTAAGACTCTGCCCTCCTGATACAGGGGAACTAGATCCCACATGCCACAACTAAGACTCTATGTAGCCAAATAAATAAAAATAAATGTTAAAAAAAAAAACAGCTATACAATTGAAAATGTGGCCAAGAAATTTAGAGGTTAGTTAAAAGCATATTGTGAATTTCCTTTAAAACTATACCCTACATAGTGCTTTGCTAGTAGATATTTTAAAATAATCATTAAAATTACACAAGTAAAAAAATAAATAAATAAAAATAAAATTATACAAGTAATACACAGTCAAAAATTTTTACAAAATACAACAAAACAAAAAGAAGAAAATTAAATTCATTTGGTTTTTAGCACAAAATCAAGCCCTTTGACTTATATCATTCTAGAGTTTTCCATATGTTTTTTATAAAAACAGAGGAAATCACTGTTCACAGTATTTTGTAATCCTTTTCAGTTGTAATTAAAATTGTAATTTCTTTCCATACCAATAGATATATTTCTACAAGTATATATTTTTAAAAGGACTGCATGGGATTTTACCAAATGAAAGAATATAAATTTATTCAATCCATAAGATTGTTTTTAACTTCTCACAGTAGCATTTTTCATTATAGTAACATATACACCTGGCCTAGGTTTTGTTCTGTTTCTCTGAGCACTGTGTAACCTGGGACTTGGGTGGGAGCCTGTGGGCTCTTCAGAAACTCACTGACACCTAAAACCTGGGGGGATTTAGTGTGTCAACCACACACTGTATATATTTTTAAACCTCTGAGAGGAGTAAAACAAAGTGATCTAAATTCTGCTAAAACTAAAGTCTCCTCTTAGAATTCCTTCTTTTTCTCACTCAGACCTGAACGTTCCAGGGGAGATAACAAGACTTTCTGAAAATCCTAAAGGTGTAACCCCAAATTATTTCTGGTTTCCTCTCAGTCCTCTAAAGAATGAGAATCACGAACCCAAATAATCGTAATACGATGACGTTTCAGTGCCCTGTTCCATCTCACTACTTTTGCCCACGTTTGAAAGGCTTTAAGTACCTCTTAGATGAACTTTTCTCCCTCTTCTCAGAGAAAACCTTCCAATAGCAATTCACTAGGATTTCTATTTTGTTTTAACATAAGATAGCCCTTTGAAGAGACCCATCCCCCCCTGCTCCGGAATAAGCTCAAAATATCTTCAAAGAAGTAAACTAGGGAGCCCATAAAATAAAAACTGCCCAATTTAAGAGCCAAACCACACTGGGATACATTTTTTACTGTCTCCAGTCCATGGAAAGATGAAACTATCTCCAGAAATTATTGGGGAAAAAAAATTATTTTACCACAGATTTTGACAGTTTTCCGTCTAAAGGAAAATATGGGACTTAGTCGTTCTGCCCCATCTCCTCAAATTTCTTAATATTTAGAAAAGAAAGTATTTCCTCAAGGTTTTGCCGCCAGGAAGAGCGAAAGTCCGGCTCCCGTCAGCTCCGAAGCTGCGTTCCAGTCTCGCAGACGCCCCCTTGGCCTTGAGAATATGTTAGAATCCTCCCAGGAGCCCCAGCGGGAAGAAGGCCCCGCCCCCGGATTCCATAGTGCCGTCCTCCCTGAGGAATATTTTAGAACCCTACCTGAGCTCCCTCAGGAAGGAGACCCCGCCCCTTATAAATATTAAGAATATCTCACAGACCCACCCACTTCATGAATAATCAACGAGGACGAAGTAGGTCTTTGGCTCCAGAACCTAAGCCAAAGCCACTCGTTGCTTCTGGCTGATAACAGGAAGGGGTGGAGCCGTTAGAAACGGGAGTGCATGCGTGCTAAGTCGCTTCAGACTGCGACCCCATGGGCTGTGGCTCGCCAAGCTCCTCTGTTCATGGAATTCTCTGGAGTGGGTTGCCATTCACCTTTCCAGGGGATCTTCCCCACCCAGGGATTGAACCGGCGTCTCTCAAGTCTCCTGCATTGGCATTAGAGTTCTTTACCACTAGCGCCATCTGGGAAGCCCAGAAACGGGAGGGGAGGATGCAAAGTGAAGAGCCCCAATGTGGTGAACCGCACATCTGTTTCAAACAATTTCCTTTCCTTTTAATCTAGTTAAACCGGGTTTTAAATCCAGGCCCCCCACCCCCCACCCCCTGGTGGCTCAGACGGTAAAGAATCCGGCTGCAATGCAGGAGACCTGGGTTTGGTCCCTGGGTTGGGGAGATCCCCTGGAGAAGGGAACGGTTACGCACTCCTGTATTCTGGCCTGGAGAATTCCATGGACAGAGGGACCTGGCAGGCTAGTCCATGGGATCACAAAGAGTCGGACTCTGAGCCACTTTCACTCCCCCTCACTCCCCCCGACCCCCAGCCAAGACGGTAAGTTACTAAGTTACGAGAGCTTTCATGAAAACTTCTTTTGGGAAAAACCCCCAGTGTTCCTTTTTAAACCTATCTGGGTGCCTAGAACAAAGAAGGATGAGTGCCTCCATCATCTCAAGATGGAGTCCAAGACAAACCTCCTCCCTTGAAGAATAAGTTCTCATTTATTTATTCATTCATTGGCAATTTATTGAAACCTGCTTTGGGCCAGTCACAGGATCAGGTCTTAAAGGTACAACAGAGAACAAGTCATATGTGTTCTGCCTTACTGGAGCTCATTAGTCTAATGGGAAATATAGAATGAACAGACAAAATAAACTACAGATGGAGAGCAGTGTTACGGAGGAAATAAGGCAAACAGAAAATATGAAAGTTGGAGGCAGGGAACATGTACCTATGTTAGATGGACTGGCTTGAGAGGTCCCTTTGAAGAAGTTACATTTAATTTGAGAACTAATGGAGAAGGAGCCAGTCAGGAGATGGGCTGGGAGAAAAGGGAACAGCAGTATAGATTTTGGTATGTTTTAGGTATTTGCAAGCCTTGCTGGCAAGAGTTTAGTAAGCAACCAGGAGTGACTCTTTGGAGACCCTGAAGAGGCAGCACATATGTGGATGTGCAGGACCTTGTATAAAGGCCCTAAATGAGAGTCAACTTAGAATCACAGTAGGCTCTTCCTGGTAGTTCAGCTGGTAAAGAATCTGTCTGCAGTGCAGGAGACCCTGATTTGATTCCTGGGTCAGAAGATCCCCTGGAGAAGGGATAGGCTACCCACTCCAATATTCTTTTCTGAAGCATCCCCATGAACAGAGGAGTCTGGCGGACTAAGAGTCAGACACAGCACAAATTCCTGTCTTTGTGGACCGACTCCACATTATATGCAAGAAATTAAGATGTACCCACATTCCTCAGTAAAATAAAATATATAAGTAACTTCATAATGGTTGAGATGAAATTTAGGATTAATTGACGTATATCATGTAGTCACAGACATTCATTAATTTTGACTTACAGAGTCTTTTGTGGAGAAGGAAATGGCAACCCACTCCAGTATCCTTGCCTAGGAAACCTCATGGACAGAGGAGCCTGGCAGCCTACAGTCCGTGGGGTCACAAAGAGTTGGACATGACTGAGCGACTGAGCATGCAGTGTTTCCTCAGATATGAGCTCTTTGGAGTGCCCCCTGTTTCTTGGTTCTGCAGTC